AAAAAAAAAAAAAAAAAAAAAAAAAAAAAAAAAAAAAAAAATAAAAAAAAAAAAAAATATTTATATATATATATATATATATATATATATATATATATATATATATATATATATATATATATATATATATATATATATATATATATATATATATATATATATATATATATATATATATATATATATATAATATTAGGGTTGTCAAGATACTTGAATTCGGTACCAATTAATACTGTAATTTTAAAAACGTCCATTTTTTTTTGCAATGCTTGATTTTTATTTTCATTTCTTTGTTTATGTTTGCAAACTTACTTTTTAATTCTCAAAACGTAATTTTCCCTTCCCTTTTTTGAGATTTGCATTATTTTTACATTTTCTTTGCTCAATTCTTATAGTCACACATTGTCACTATTTTTCATTTGCACATCTTTATGTTGTGCTGTATTTAAGGCTCTGTATTGACTCCATACAATTTGTGGCATTTTTACAATGTCAGTTCATATGTTGGTAACAAGCTCCATGAAACTTCTCCTTTTGAATTTTAAGCGAAAGAATAAAAATTGATGGGTGGATACCTGAATACATTTTGAATCTAAAATGCTTAAATGTGATAGGGAACGTTTTATTGTTACTAATTGTTGTTTAACTAATATAACTCGTATAGTTAACAATAACATTTTTCTCAATGTTGTGCTTTAGCTCAAGATGCTAACCAAAAGATGACTTAATCATTTTATAATGAATGAAGCTGAATGTATGATTCAGAAGGCAGAAACAGTCAAATGTAGGGACAGTTAGAGTCTTTAGGTTTATATTTTCATTACAAAATATCCCTAAATACACACACAAACGTAAAATAAGATCAAAAACTGTAGGATTAGGAGATGCAAAATGAACCCGCAATTCTAGAATATCCCAGATACATTACACATGTTCATCTATGACCACTCATATTCCCATGATCTCTGCTAACATCTTGAAAGACTTTTTAAACACCTTTTTACTCTTGCTTAGCTCAAGATACTAACCAAAAGATGACTTAATCATTTCATGATAACTGAATCTGAATTTATGAATCAGTAGAAAGAAATGGTGAAAAATAGGTTTAGTTGGAGTCTTTAAGTTGATGTTATCATGAAAAAAAATGTCACTAACTACACACACAAACGTCAAATAATAATAAAAAAAAAAAGGTTTATCTAGGAAAGTGTTTTCCAACCCTGTTTCTGAAGACAAACAGTACAAATTTTGGATGTCTCTCTTATCTGACCTATTACCTTCAAGGTTTGTAGTCTCTTGTAATGTTCTGATGAGGTGTGTTTGATTAGGAAGAGGTTGAAAATGTGTACTGTTGGTGTGCCTTCAGGAACAGGGTTGGGAAACACTGATCTAGAACATGCTAAATGTACCCCCAACTCTAGAATCCCTTCACATTCCCATAATCACTGGTTTGTTTCTGAAAGACTTTTTGATTTTTTTTTCACTCCTAATTGTTGTTCACCTCACTCTACCATTGCGTTTGTTTTGTCCTCCTCTAAAGTTCTCCTGCTCCCCCTTCCCAAGTCATCCCTGTTCACACCACTGCTCCCAGAATCCCCAGTCCTGCGGTAGTCAGCACTTCCATGACTAGCTTCAGGTATCATTTCAGTGCCTATTTTGCATGTGTTTGTGTGTGCATGATCATTTAGGACATTTTGGGCTGCATGTTTTTATATTTCTCCAAAAATTTGATTGTTGTTGTTATTATTTTTGTTACTGTTGGTATTATTCTAAGGTCGCGAGTGGTTGTGAAAGAATTTCACTGCATTTCATTTCATTAACAGTATGGCTTCATATACTGTACATAGAAGATTCTATGATTCTATGCAAGCTTGGAAGAAAGAGATTGGTTCATTAATTCACCGGTGCATCGACTGAATGGATCCTCAAAATGTTGCCAGCCTCAGTGGTGATGTTTACTTCAAGTGCGCCATCTGCTGGTGACTTTACGTTCACGCGCTGTTGGAAATTGTGACTAGAAGTGTGTCAACAGAATGTCTGGCATGCAGTTATGAGGTTCTGCAGGCCTGTGTTTTTGTAATACGAGCAAGTGTCTGGAAAAGTAAGAGTATATGAATGTGTTTTTGAGCATGTGCAGATGTTTTGGGTGTTTTGCATCAGCGCGTGGTCACCAGAGCAGCTGTAAATAGACACACGTTCTGCGTTGTCCATGCACACCCAAATGTCAAAGGTGTCACTTGTCTGACAGTTGTACAAGAGAGGCAGAGGTGGGAAAGTTCACGTAAACTAGAAAGGTAGAAGGAAAGCATGAATTAAATAGTAAACTTGAATTTAAATACAAAATCACAACACGTTATGTATTTGAGTCTTGTGTTTTTGTTTTTTATAAATTAAAGATGCAGTGATTTAAACTCTTTGTAAAATTAGGTGATGATTACAGTATATTATCTGATTGGTTCAGTCTGCCATCTCATAGGTGAAGCATAACGGGTTAGTTCATTCAAAAAATAATATTCAGTCACCTTAAATTGGTAAATTATTCTGTTGAACACTAAAAGAGATGTTCTGAAGAAAGATGAAAAGCTGTACTATTTGACTCCCATAGTATCCACTTGTTAAGTCATGACATATGAAACACTGTTTCTGTGTCCAAGCTCATTTAAATAGGGAAAATAGTCCTTTATGATCATGTTTTTAGTCATATCACACATTAAAGTGTATTTCATATCTAATCATGGTGTACACAACAGTCTCTGGATTTGTTGCATCACACACCAATATTTTAGAAATTTATAAAAAAATATTTTACTTTCTGGCCATCAGATAGTCAAAATTATTACGTCTTTTTGTAAATAGATATTAGTGAAGTTTATTTATAAACTAATTTCGAAAGGATCACATGCTTATGATTGAATACAGCTGGTCATGTGTTAGCCAATTCACCATTCACCAATCAGATGATTCCTTAGTCACTATAAATAAACGAAGTTCCATTCTACAGCCATCTTTGTTTTGAAGAATCCTCCCTTCCACCCCTACTCCTCCTCATTTCCTATATAGGTGACACGGTGGCTCAGTGGTCAGCACTGTTGCCTCACAGCAAGAACGTCTCTGGTTCTAGTCCTTACCAAGCCAGCCAACATTTCTGTTTACATGTTCTCCCCGTGCGCATGTTGGTTTCCCTCAGGCCCCCTGGTTTCCTTCCACCATCCAAAAACATGCAGTTTAAGTTAATTGACTAATCCAAATCAGCCCCACAGACATGCTTCTAGTAAGTAGTTATATCTTAAGAGCAATTACTATCTTTTCATTCACTACTATAGCAGGGGAGTTCTCGAGATCTACCTGAGCTCAAACCGCCCTCTCGCCCTGCAATGGGAGGGAGGCTCGGGCTTGAGGATCTTATGAGCTCAAGGCTCTCTCCTGAAACATCATGCCAGTTGTGCTTTATAATCAATCAGCTAAGTGTAAACTCTTGAATTTCCCTTTGTTGAGCCTCCCAGTAATGTTTGATAGAGCACTTGGACCTGGAAACCACTTCCCGTGACATCACACTTAAAAAGCGGATAGGAAAACAAATACCATGGAAGTCAATAGTTACAGTTTTTCAGCTTTCTTCAAAATATCTTCTTTAGTGTTCAACAGAAGAAAGAAAGTAAATTATGAGAGTGTTAATAGAGAGCAAACTTTGACAGTTTTTATTTTTGGGTCAACTATCACATTTAATGTTTGAATTTACTATAATAATAATAGTAGGACAAGAAATTATCTGCAATACAATTAAAGGAATATGTAAGAAATTAATCATTAACGACCCCAATTAACTTGCCTAAATTTCAGATGTGGGTAAAACTCCAATAAGATTAGATTTTTACTCATCAAAGCACACGTGCTGCTGATGATGTGCCAATAAAAGTGATTTGATTTGATTTGGGATGTGGCATCTTTTAGTTGTGCCCCTTATACCACCTGTCCTCCACTTGATCATTCAGCAGTCCTTAGGTTGCCAGATAATTATCTAAAGAATCAGTGGATCATAGTAAGAGAATGTGGTTTGACATTTCTTTGTACTGTATATGGATAGGCTGCATAGTGGCTCAGTGGTTAGCACTGTCACCTCACATCAAGAAGATCACTGATTTGAGTCCCGGCTGAGCCAGTTGTATTTTTTGTGTGGAGTTTGCATGTTCTCTCTTTGTTACCCTGGGTTTCCTTCGGGTGCTCCGGTTTCCCCCAAAGTCCAAAAACGTGGTACAGATGAATTGAGTGAACCAACTTGGCCTTCGTGTGTGAATGTGAGAGTGTATGGGTGTTTCCTAGTTCTGGGTTGCGACTGGAAGGGGATCCGCTGCGTAAAACATATGCTGGAACAGTTGGCGGTTCATTCCGCTGTGGCTACCCCTGATAAATAAGAGACTAAATTGAAGGAAAACTAATGAATGTATATAGATAAACTTTTGGGAAAA